CAATGTTCATAAGGAGTGCATGCACAAAAGCTCTCTCTGACATAACCTCCTGTCACCATCACCCCATCTGTGAAGAGAAATCTGCTCCACATGCTGAAAGCTACAGGAGGAAATCTGAGTGGTTATTAAAGTGACAGGCTACAGAATAGTTCGTATCTGTAATGGAACTTTTATGTTCACTAATTCTTTGCTTAAGAGGTAGATTTGATGGCACAGACATTTCAGCGGGTCAGTTTATTTTGGGGGGGGTATTAGGCGTGATAACTCCTCTGCCTGCCTCTGCCTCTGTGTGTCGATGCAAGCTGTTGTTGTATATTTCTCATATTTGTCATCCTTTCTGTCAGTCTCAGAGTGTCATCTAGCTGCAGCAAAGGCTCTGTGACAGACTTGTGGTTTATTCCACTAACTATTCTCATGACAGCTTATAGCGGAGTCCTGCAACGATTTCATCATGAGACCATCTGCTGTTCATGTTGTCTGAAAGAGACGATTTCCTTTCTGTGCTTTGGGAAAAGCTCTGAAATACCTCAAAGACCTCAATGAAACGAAACGCCTCGTAATTCAAGACTTTTCAATTCTTTCAGAGAATCTGTTTTGCAGCAAAGAGAATGTGAAGTTCCACGCAGTAAAATGCTGTTTATGGTTAATTAGCTTTAGTGCTTGTGACCGTCGCGTGTCTGTAACTTGAGTAGGTTTCACACCAGGACTCAGGACATTAGATTTAGGTCACAAAATGTGAGAACATCTTGAAACATTTAAGAACAGTTGCAATAAAGGAAATCTTCAATCTCACTTGGAAAGGCACAAAAGGTCGAGAAGCATATCTATAACTGACAACCACACGCTAACCGACACAAATCCCCAACTGTGTGTTTGTGCAGATCGGGGTGTAGCAGTGTTAGCTTAGGACGGGATAATAAGAAGGATGAGAAGTATCTGAGTATAACAGCGTGCATGCAGAAGGAGAGCCTGAGGTAGCTGCCTTTCACAACAGCACACTTCTTTCTAACAGCTTGGCTCATGAACATTATGTGTAAGAATGTTTGTGGGGGTTTTTTTCTTTCTCGGTAATCTTTTTCCTACATCCCAGTCACCAGCCCCCCTACCTCTGGTTTTCAATAACCAGTGTGGAGTGTGGAGGATGGGATTTGATGGAATTAGCCATCGTGAGGGGAAAAAATAAAGAAATCAAATAAATAAAAGCCAAAAGAGAAACGTGGGACCTCATATTTACACCTTAGCAGTGTGCCCATATTTTTTGTTCATCTGCTCCCACAGTAACTGTCTTAATAGTGTTACAGTAACATGTGAGCGCTCACATTGACTTCACCCACTGCAGTGTTGCAGACTCTGGGAGTTTGCTTCCAAAAAACAACAGCCAACAGTGACAGTTCACATGGAAACCTTTGATTTTAGGCGCTTACACAATGAACCTTAGCTCCAGTCTTTGTTGTGGCAATAATTCCCCTCCCGCCCGTAGTCTTGGAGCAATTTCCAGCGTTCACTGTCATCATCATAATCTGACCTGATGTGGAAACTATGCAATGAAGTCTTTCCTTTCCCATTCTACTCTGTTTGGTGCCTGCTGCAGAGCTGAGCAACTTTATGGTTTTGATCGTTTTAGCAAACGTGTTAACCAAAGTATGATTGAGAATTGCCATCAAGTTTGATTTTTCAAATGGAAATATTATACCTCACTGGATAGAATAATAACATCTTTGGGAAATAAAGTCTTTTTTTTGTTTTGTTTTTTTTTTTGCTCTTTTTCTTTCTTTTTTTTACCTCTCATTTTGCTGCAAGGAAATTCAGTTTGATTACATGCTGCTCTATCTCTGCATTACACAACACTTGAAAGAGAATTTTAAATTATGTTAAATATTAATCATGAATACATTATCATGCTGGCATGCTTTACAGTCTTTGCTATTACAAATTTGAATCCAAACATACCAAGTAACATTATGTAACCGAGAAAATTTAATGGCTGCGTGAACGCGCCCTTCCTCCTAAATACATTTTTGTACCTTTTTAAAATTGTGGGTTTTTAGACTCATCAGGTATCCATAGTGGCTGCTTGAATAGGGATTTACATCAAATGCTCCTGTTTCGCTTTTGCTGCAGTGCACGGGCTAAAGGTAGTATTTTTAGGTCTGAAGGAGGAACTCGTCTGAAGTTTTCTTAAGGGTTTGAGGGAGAAACAGCTCAGTTGTTATGTATTAAAATCCCTGGATCCCCTCTGATCCTGAGCTGTAATGACACAGACATGGTCGGAGCCTTTTGCTATCCCCTCATTCTCATCAACATGCCAGAGTTTCACCCAATTGATTTTCTTACACCAGTGCCCCATAGACAGCCCGTTTTCCTTTGTCCTTTTGGCTGTGACCAGGGACAACACAGATGTCTCTTTCACTCTACCTACTCCTCCTCAGATGTTAGCCAGTTTGTCTAGCCCATCCTCATTAACATGTGGACTAATTCCTGCTTGTTATCTGGCCTAGATGTAATAAGGCAGACCTGGATGGCAGGGGTAATCAGGTTGGAAGGCAGCGCTTTCTTCCCATCTCTCCCTCTGCTGCCATCATCACATCCCATAACTGATAGCAGAGCAGACACATCTGAGGGGATTAAGCTAATGTGATGGCAGAGCCACCTACCAGGGGCCCCCACAGGGTAATTTTAAGAGACAGGCCTTGACATCCAGGGAATAACTTGTCAAGACCTGGCTGCAGGCAAATATTGAGGATATTAATCCTTAATGTAATGGCCTTGACTAGATTTTGCTCTTGTCTCTGTGCGCAGCTTTAGGCATAATCATAAGTCTCTTTAATCACTGACATAAAGAAGTCCCTCAAGGATTTTCCAGAGTTTTACAGTAATTATTGTGTACCAAAAATGCTTGTTTTTTTTCACTGTTGCCTCGGTGAGAAATTGCCAAGTTATTTGCATATGTTCTCATTCATTTGTTTCAGTTTTATGAGCTACATGGCTGTGGTGCTTTGTTTTGTTGCTGTATAAATGTGATAGAGTAGTAAAATCACAGCCCGTGTCATGTACCAAAGGATTGCGAGGCTTAGTTCAGAGGTAGAACTGATGGACGCGGTGAGTGCTGCCTCTCTGGCGATATGTGCTAAAACATAATAGGAAGAACAAGAGTGAGAAGCTGCGGATAAGGAGAAGGAAGAACCACAGAGGTGAGGTCACACATATGCCTGTAGAGCAACAGCTCATTGTCTCTTTTTGATCATTTTAATTAAATCATTGACCAAATAATGAGGAAGAATCCGCACAAAACCTGAGGTTAAAATTAATTAAACCTTGCTTGATATCTGGATGGAACAAATAAGAAAACACACGGCGCTTTGCATTTTTATTCAGAGCGCTTAAAAGATTCTTAAATTATAAAAAAAACCCTCCGGAGAGGCGAGGTTTCCTAAAAACAATGCTGGCCTTCGTCAAGGAGCTGAGCAAGCACCTTGATGATGAGTTTGTCCTTGCTGCAGGTTTTATCTCGTAAACGGTGTCTTTGCAGCCTGCTGCTACGTTTTGTGATATTTTTGAACCCCCGGTGATCGGTCTTTAGGGCTATTCCCTCGTCACATGACCCGACTGTCCTCCTCTTCATCTCGTTCTCAGGTCTGCTCATAGGATCGGGCTGCGCGCTCTATCCACTGGGATGGGACAGCGAGGAAGTACAGCAAACCTGCAACAACAGCTCAAGCCAGTTTCAACTAGGTAAGATGTCTGCAAGGGAGATCCATCACACACAGAGGCTTTAATTACACACAGATGGTTCATAAATTTGTGCCGTGCTCGCTGGATCTTTTATTCCCAAAAACAGACGAATCGCAGAAAACGTGAAACAGACGACCGACGTTTGTCTTTATGTGTTGACGTGCTGCCTTTTGTCTCTCTCTGGTAGTCAAAAAAGATGTGATTTCTTGTTGTTTTGATGAATGCATTTGGAAAAAAATGAACAGCAGAAGATCCAATAGCTGTCCATTACCAAAATGTTTTATAGCTTTAAATGTGTGCCGAGAATAAGCAATACTTTGATTTGTGCTCTGCATGCAGCTGGTATTATCAGGACTATCTCACAGACAGTAATATGCTACTTTATCAGACACTAGGGAGGTGGAAAAGCTTTTCATACTGCGGCTGCTCCTTTATTTGATACTAATCAAAGAGTGTTTGGTTTTTCGCTGGATGTAAAATATTTTATTGGGAACTTGGATTAATATTATTAACACTAAACACAAGAATACATGGAGATTTTTTTTAATGTCACTGGATTAAAATTAAAAGGCTCATCCTCTCTGAGGATCCCTGGAAGCATCCCAGCCCATTTTGATATTCGTCACCCACATCCTCGGATCTTGACTTGATCTGAATGCTTAGTGGGGTTCACTAAAAACACTGAGTGTGGACCATGAATACTCAAAATCAACCTCAAGAAAATTCAGCTCTTATATTTTTGTCAAGAATCAAAGCGTGCCGTAGGGAAAAGAGCATCAGAGAACCACTAGTCCAGGGATGGGAAACCTATAAAAACAGATTTTTGAATTAAAAGAATCTGTATGGAGCTGCACAAAACATTTGACCTGCATAATAAAGGGGACACAGATTATCATTATCACTATAGATATAGGTAATTAAAGCCTACTCCCATGTGAATATTCTTCAGTTTATGAGATTTTTTCTATCCTCTTCACTACAATCATACTACTTTTTACATTTCATTACAAGTTTAAAGGAAAGAAGAAAAATCTGTATCTTTACTGAATCTTATTACCAATAAAACAAAACAAATAGTGAAGGGAAAAAATATTTATTAGCATTTATAGGCCTGCTAGCTCTAAAGCTTCTACCTAGGTTCACACAAATTAAAAGTGAACAAGTTTGACTATAAATGAAAAAAGTCAGTGAAAAACAGATCCGTTTAAATTTCATTTTGATTAACGTGCAGTTTGGTTTGCTCAGATGTCTTTCTTCCTTCAGCGACATACAGTAATCAATCTTCAAGATGGACTTTTTGGGGGAAATTTCTGCTAATGCTAATTTCTTAGTCGTGAAAGCAAACAAATCTGCCATGCGCTACTTTTTCTTCGCTTTTTTAGGTGGGATTTAAAATAGCCAGGGGGACTGGATTATCTATGCTGCATGCTACCGTGCTACCGTTCAGCATACAGGTCAAAGAAGGTGCCGGGCAACAGACGTATGATGCACATTTGGATGCAAACATTAAAATGTAATTCAGCACACAGGCTACATATGTTTTTTTTTCTTTTTGCAACTGCAGAATATGAAGAAGCACTTCACACCGATTCTAAATAAATAATAAAATGTTAAAAAAAATAACCACTCTTTATTTGCTTATTCATTCTAATCAATTTTCCGACTGGAAATGGGCAAAATAGCCGCAGGTATGTAGTACTTGTATCCCATTTCATGAAGATGTGCTCCGTCGCTGCTGAGATGATACTCTGAACAGATTAATGAAAGACCAAACAGCTTCACTGTCCTCTCCAACTGTTGCCACAAGAAAAAAAAATGCAAATGTTGCTAATATGAAGTTAAGAGTTGCAAGTTAATAAATGCTAAGCAGCCAGATGTATTAGGAAACATTAACTGTGATTTTTAATACAGTTTTCTGTCACATGAATTATGGATTCACACCGATTCTGCCATTCTAGCGGCATCTACTCTTAAACCACATAATTCAAACAGATTTCTCCCTTTTAAATTTTAAGAACACATCACCACACGCTATCAGAGGTAATTATGTTGAATTCGCAGCTTTCATTTTATTTCCTCTGTGGAAGAACAGGCACATATACGTTTGTGTTAACAAGTGCTTTTGGTTGAAAGTTTTGTTCAGAGCAACTGGCGACTCAAGGTTCGTCTCATTTATGTCAACACTATGATAAGGTGGTGACGACGAATGATGCTTTCACCACATCTGAAGCCGTCCTTCATTAATTCATCTCTCATTAATTAGCCACGAAGGCTGTAGTCAGTGCTTGAAAACTCTGAATGCCGCTGCAGGAGGCATTAACTGCGTACGTGTTCATTTCCATACCTGAGTCCAAAGAAGCAAAGCATGAAGGATCCGAGTGATTCCTTTGATGGAATATGTTTTGCAAGTGGAAAATACCCTTGTCGTTAATTTGAATGAATAGATAAGCTACAGTCACATTTAAGAAGAGGGGATGTACTTTTTGTTAATGCCACAGAAAAAGAGAAATAAGTATTTTCAACACTTTCAAAAGAAACTCAACCACTGTATCCTATTTCATAATGCATATAATTACCCCTGATGATTATGAAAGGTGTGTCTAAAGGAGGCACTTAATGGTTTAGGTTTTATTTGCGTTTCAGCATTTCGTTGCATCACTGTAATTTTCAGACACTCCATTTTTTGCATTTCTCCAAGTCTCTAATTGTTCATCTCCCACATAGCAGACTGTTTGCACGTGAATTGGGGCTCTGTTTTGTGCATATTTTCTCAACAGTGCTAGCTGTATTTCACAAGAAGATGGGAACATAGTAGCCTGAGCAGAGATGTTAAGTAGTTGCCACCATTCTCTGTGATTAACACTAACACGTTAATGTTAGATCTAGGGCAAGATCAAAGGCGCGGTGCGGAGTTCTCATGATATATCTCAAACAAAATGATTGTGCGTTTCAAACTAACGTCTGAATGGTTCCCTGTGTTTTACATAGCGTGATGCTCAATTATCATTCAAAGCATGGGTGAGCTGTTAGGTCCAATTTTACAGTGTAGTTGATCTGACTGGAGTAAACATTCAAGTTCCCCTTCATAGGAGAAGTGATGTGAGATTTTTAGGCAGTTTTCTTAAAAAGGGCTATAAATGCAGAGTAAGCTGTGTCGTTCTCCATTAAAATCAAGCGACTGTCTTACTGGCTAAAGACTTATTTGCCCAGATTAATTTGAATCTGTTACAATGTTTTTCTAGAGGGTGAAAAGACCTTTTCTTTTTTCATCCTCTGCAGGTTCCTGTCAGATCGGCTGGGCGTATTACTGCACAGGGGCAGGAGCGGCGGGTGCTATGCTGCTGTGCACCTGGCTGTCCTGTTTCGCAGGGAAGAAGCAAAAGCAGTACCCTTACTGAAGAGAGCATCAGAGAGACGGGGACAGGCGGAGACCTCGGGCGGTATGACAAAAGGGAGAGGACTCCAGTACAGCACATCAGGCACCAAAGACATCAAGTCATTATGGTGCTCTGCACATCATGGGACACTACTCATCTGACAACTGCAGGGACTGTTTCATAATGCAGCACACACACATGGCTTTGAAAAGTGGTACTTCTCTTAAAAGCTGTTCTTAAATGAAAAATGTATGGACCAATCCTGTTTGTAAGATTGTTACATAACTATTTCTTTAATGAAAAGTGTATTCTCCCCCTCTTTTTTTTCTTTTGTCTTCCTCTTCTTTGGTCTTTAATGTTTATGTGATAGTGCGCCCTGTGATGAACAGAAGTAATATTGCCTCATTGTTACGTGAAGTGTTTGCGGTCTCCTCTTCATCACTCATTCTTGCCTTAAACACAAACAGAAATGCAATAATCCCTATAATGTAAAGCAATCCGACACTGGCTGCCTGCTTCCTCGATTCAGACCCCCAAAAAAAATCAAAGCATAGTTTATTTAACACATTCATAAGATATACATTGTGTATGGTAATGTATTTTATCATTTTATCACGTTTTGTATTCACCCTCAAATTATTCTTTGCCATTATGTTTGTTTTGTAAATAAATGTTTATTGGAAGTCTGGTTTTTCAAGTCTTCTTTGAGTCGGCGCCCAGGAGCAAAAACGAACAGTCGTGCGTTCCTAAAAAGCTTTTTTTCCCATGACTTCTTGATCTTGACAGTGTTCGCTACATGTGGGAGTCCTTTTTTTTTCTGATCAACAAAGAGGATAAGGATGGGCAGTACTGTGAATTTAATTTTTCCAACTTATTGATGAAGTAAATTTAGTAACCTCTAGCCAGAGTATTTGCCTTTTGATCAGGCTTCTCAGCTTAAAAGCTTCAGAGTCTTCAAGACAAAGCCTGAGATGCAATCATACCCTGGGAAATTGAGGCACTCCGCGTCCGTCGGGCCATCAGTTTAATGTCAGGGGTTATCTCGTAGCTCCTCACCCTGCCTTCACAGTGTGAATAACAATAATGGCAACCTTTTCTTAGCAATTACCGCCGCTGTATGCGTGTCATTAGAGGTGCGAGCTGAACACAGCTTTTCAGTTACTATTTTTAGCCATTTGTTCTCTGTTTTTCTTTCTTTGATTAACAAACACCACATCCGAGCTCAAGTGCACAAAGTCAGCTCATTTCCAATGCAGCTGTTCTCGATGTGTTTTGGCCCTCATTAGCATGCCCATTTTCTCACAATTCTCAACATCACCCAGATAATGGCAACGCCCCCTCCCCTCCATCCCCACTGGAGAAATATCCTTCTCAGTACTTGCTCTGTTTAATATATTAGTATGGCTCCTCTGCATTCTGCTCTCTCCCTCTCTCTGATCTCCTGTGCTGATTGATATCAGCAGCGATTGTTACAGAGAGTCAACCAGATGCCTCATCAGCAGACGCAGACACATTGGGGTCACGTTGGAGCATTCCTTCTTTTATATCTGCACCCGAATCTCAGACTGACAGGGTGTACCATTCAATCTGAGATCTTGTAACAAGTAAGAGGCTGATTGTCTTAAAACATGATAAATGAGTGGTGGCTGAGAAATTCAGTTGCTCGCATCAGCTCCTGAATGAAGACATATTACAACTGATGTAACTGACGTGAATTTAGACTGACTGGTGCTGATGTTCACCTTGAGCTGTACATATTTTTTGTGCTCTAAGAATCACAAACGGATTTACAGATACCTCATTTATGCTGGAATAGAGCTAAAAATAAGATTAGATGGCAGAAGACAAAGAAGTTTGTTTTTTATAAGCGAGGGTGATGATTTAAAACCCCAATGGAGTCAACAAACAAATTCAAGTTAGCCAAAGCTTTAAAGACCAAATACAAATGATGAACTATGAAGTCATGTACTCAAAAAACGATACAATGATTACTAGCAGGATCACATCACCACAACTGTAGTAATATACACTTACCAGCCCACTTTATTAGGTAAACCTTGTCAATTGTTTGCTATTGCAAAAATCTAATCGGCTAATCACATGGCAACAACTCAGTGCTTTTAGGTATGGATGAGACAACATCTCAAAGTTCAACTGAGCATCAGAAAAAAGGCGTTTTAGGGTAATTTTGAATGTGGCATCATTGAATCTGATGCGCTACAGCAACAGAAGACCACACCAGCTGCCACTCCTATCAGCTAAGAAGAGATAACTATGGCTCCAGTTTGCACTGGCTCAACAAAATTGGACAACAGAATATAGGAAAATCATTGCTTAGTCTGATGAGTCATCGTTTCTCCTGGGACATATGGAAGTTTGGACTAGCT